TAATATTTTTTTATTTTTTTAAATATATTTTTTTTTAAATTCACTTCCATCTTTATTCTTTTACTCACATCAAGGAACATTCACATATATTTTTAAAGCGTAAAAATATGAACACTAAATTTTAGGTCATGCAAGGGTTGAAGATTAGAGGTGCTACAAGAGAATAACAAACAAAAAAGAAGGAGGAGAGATAAGGAGGATATATACTTTTATATAAAAGGAGGCGCAAACCACATAAGAGCACCTGCTAACCACCTACGTAAACAGTGTTTTTGGCAGAGATATTACTCGTACCTGCATGGCGAGTTGTGTACGCTCATGCTGGATTTCAACAATAACAACAACAACAGCAGTAGCAACTACAAAGACACCAGCAGCAAATGGGCCACACCTGTCAAAGCTGCAGCATGAGCTGAAGAAACGATAACCAAAGGACCAACATCAATGGCGAAAGAACATATTTGAAGCACTGATGATAGGGCCAGTATTGGATGCAGAGACACCAGAGGTACAGATTTTGTCTGGGCATGTTGCTGAGGTTTCACAGTACTTCAACCTGTGCCTCTTGTTCATTGTTTTAGTAAGAGTTTTACGGAACTTGCCACACAATTAGGCCATATAAGTGCCGAAAATGTTTGGTGGTATTAAAGAGGAACAAACACAAAAAAGGAAGAAAGGGAAATGCGGACAACAGATGTTTGAAAGGAAAGAAGAGGTAAACCATACCAGAACACTGGCCAACCACCTATTCCTGTTCTTTAACTCTTTCTGTACCAAGCACCGATATATCAATGCCTTTCTTCACATCATGTAATTATGTGCTAATAACTCGTGGCATATAAAGAGTTAAATTGGCCTTGAGAGTCTTCAAAGTAGGAGACGACATACTGATAGGTGGTATGACGTCAGACCATGCAGTTGAAAGCAAGGGTTGACAACATGCAATGATCGATGTGACAGACACCAAATGACTTTTTCAGAGAGTCTTTGTGACTCTTTTAATGTTTTGGTTTGTTTTGTTTTTGTATTTTGCTTTACAGCGCTCACAACTGCATAAAGTCATATGAACGCCCGGGACACATGAAGCTCTTGCAGTCTGGTAGGAATCAATTTTGAATTTTGCCCGGATGAAGGTCGAGGCCTATTGTTATAGATTTTAGGACCACCAAGAGATGTTTAAACTTTTGCAACTTGCACACGCGACCTCCAAGATTTTTTTCTATCTTACCAACCCATAGATCATGGGTGTTGCTGAAAGAGAAGGAGCCAAGGAGTAGGGGTAGAAAGGCAGCAGAAAAAGTCTGGAGCCCAGGGGGGGGGGGGCAAAGAGGGGAGGGGCAGAATATAAATGCGAAAGCAGACGACAGAACATGATCAGAGAGCAGGAACGGTGAAAGGAGAACATATTTTAGAGAAGAAAATGTTCCGTCGCTGTCAGGTTTCGAATCTGGGAACTATTGAATGAGAGGCGAACACCGCACCTCCAGATCACGAGAGCCCCCTTGTACCTCTTTTTGGCGTCCTGCTGTCGCGGTGACTTGTGGAGAGTTCAACATTCAGGGTAATCTTAGGCAGATATGGGTGTCCTCAATTCTGAAGACGTATCATGCTTTTTATTGGGGGGGGGGGTAAGTGTTTTACGGCGCTCGCAACTGCATAAGATCATATTAGCATGCGGGACACATCTAATACTTTTAGTTGGTAGAAAATTTTGAATTTTGCCCTGGGGCGGCCGAAGCCTACTCTTATCGATTTTAGATCACCAAGGGATCTTTAACGTGCGCTACTTGCTCATGGGCTGTCCGTGATTTTTCGCCCTTGTCCGAGAAGGCTAGGTGTAGATATTTCCTACCAGAAGATCAGGGGTGTGGCAGAAAGACAGCTGTAAGAAGGAGTCTAGGAGGGGGCAAAGGAGGTGAGGGGGTTGCAGCAGAAAGAGGAGACGAAAGCAGACGACAGAATATTGCTAGAGAGCAGGAAAGGGAGTGAAAGGAGACAATTTTAGAGAAGAATTTTTTTCGGTCGCTACCCGGATTCGAACCCGGGACCTTTGAATGAGAGGCCAACACCTTGACCTCTAGGCCACGAGAGCCCCCTCAGAGTAGCTGAGACCAACAATTATTACAACGCCCCCTACCAAATGAGATAGCTTAGCCCTCACCTCCTGCGCCTGTGCCGAGTCCAACAACTACACCGGCAGTTACAACGAGATAACCCTCTGATGATCAATGGGCACCAGTGTTTGTGGGCCCTTGCTTGAGTCACTGGAGGGAAAATAAGAACATCGCTGAGGAAAATTAAAAGGTCCATCCCACTCGAGGTCGGAACCACAACCTCAAGTCTGTCGCTCACCTTGCCAGCATATCTTCATGGAGATGTGGGCTCTGAGCCAGTCAGCGTCGTGCCAGTTTACTTATGTCACGACGCTGTGGAATCAGGTGCTCGTCAGTTTTGGGGGGCAAATGAAGTTATTGATATAATCGTGAACCTTGTTCATTTGTCTTGCTTTTGGCGAAAAAAACCACCCACATATCTTAAATAGAAGTCGAGATATTTGCGATTGAAGAAGACTGGGGTAAAATTAGCCAAAAACTTGGCTGCCAAAAGATTTCCAAAGTTTGAGTGTCCTTGGAAATTAGAAATTTATATTTTTTTAAATCAATGTATTAAGTAACGTCCACACAGAAATGTGTTTAAAAAATAACTTAAAACGTGTTGAGACAAAAAAGAAAATTCGAAAGAAAGCAAGCCCCAATTAATTCCCAGAAAAATGCCCGTTCCTTTGATTTCATTATTTTGACCAGTGCCTGATTTCACCTCGTTGCCGCACCCTGGTCGAATTTTGAACTCCTAGTCAAGACACGTTAACCAGTTTGTAATCACGACTTGGACTTCCCATCTCACCTTCAAACCGTTTTGGGTTGGGGGTTTTGTTTGTTGGTTTGTTTGTTTGGGGGATTGGGGGGGGGGGGGTTCACCTTTCTTCCGGTGCTATCGTCTGTCGCACAAACCAGTTTCAGTGTAATCAAAATCTCAGGCGATAAATAGATTCATAGCGTGCTGCATGCGACTTTCCCCGCAATCAGAAGATTGAAGCAGTGTCCCATCGGCATTTGTACGTCCCCCGGTGCGCGCACGCGAGCACACACACACACACACACACACACACACACACAAACACACACACACACACATACACACACATACACATACACACACACGCACGAGCACAC